AAATCTAGAGTCAGCCTGTTTGAAGTCAATAATTCTGGCCTGTATCTTGTTCATTGCCTATTGACTTCAACAGAGCCACATCAGTTTTCCCCAGCTGAGGACTTACCCTGGGGGTGGGGTAAGATCCGAATGAGGTCTGCCACCTTTTCCATCTCTCTCGCACCGTCTTCTCCTGTGCACTGTGGGACAGTACCTTTCCCTCCAGAGCATGTGTGCACGACACCCCTTGTGAGGTGAGGTCATTCGTTTCTAGCTGCTGCCTTTTCCTTTGGGAGCCCCGGCTGGTGCTCTGGGGTACAGATCTTTGCAGCCTTCCGCCGCCCTTAACACTCCGCCCTGCACTGGTGTGACTGGGCGTAGCTTGAAGGAAGTGGAGGCTGACTCGCTCCAGCTGGGGATCTGGCCTGTACATTGGAACCGATTTGCAGCACCACGTCCAGAGAAGGTCTGACGTACAAACTGGTCCAGTTTCCTGCATCAGAAGAGACGAGTACTTGGTCCAAGCCTGCTCCTCTTTCAGCAGCGGGAGTGTTGCTATCAGCGCCCATGGGAGCAGCATGGGGATTGTGATACTTGCCACCAGAGGCTGCATGTCGCTTCCATGCAGGTGAGGTCTGTGCCAAGCGGGAAGCCAGTATGTTCTGTCAAGAGCAGCACTGGGGAGGATCCAGCAAGCTTCCTCAGTGGGCCTTTCCTGCCCAGAGGTGGTTCAGGTGCTCTGGATAATGGGCTCACCATGAGCGCCTCCTGGCAGGAAGGGGGGGCTGAGCCTGGCTGGTCGGGGAAGGAACCCCATCCTTCCACTGAACTTTTGCTTCCCATTCAATTTTGAGCCCATGTGCAGTTGCCTGGGTGCTGGATGGACGAGAAGCCTCGCTTCTTGGAGTTATCTTGGAGTTATCGTGGACAGTTCTCTGAAAACTTCCACACAGTGTGCAGCGGCGGTCAAAAAGGCAAATAGGATGCTAGGAATTATTAGGAAAGGCATAGAAAATAAGACCCAGAATATCTTACTGTCCCTGTATAAAACTATGGTACGCCCACATCTTGAATACTGTGTACAGATGTGGTCTCCTCACCTCAAAAAAGATATTTTGGCCTTGGAAAGGGTTCAGAAAAGGGCAACTAAAATGATTAGGGGTTTGGAACGGGGCCCATATGAGGAGAGGCTAAAGCGACTGGGACTTTTCAGTTTAGAAAAGAGGAGACTGAGGGGGGATATGATAGAGATATATAAAATCATGAGTGGTGTGGAGAGGGCCGATAAAGAAAAGTTATTTATTAGTTCCCATAATAGAAGAACTAGAGGACACCAAATGAAATTAATGGGTAGCAGGTTTAAAACTAATAAAAGAAAGTTCTTCTTCACACAGCATGTAGTCAACCTGTGGAACTCCTTGCCAGAGGAGGCTGTGAAGGCTAACACTATAAGGGTATGTCTACACTACAGAGTTAGTCCGAACTAATGGACGTTAGTTCGAACTAACTTTCATAGGCGCTACACTAATCAACCTGTGGAACTCCTTGCCAGAGGAGGCTGTGAAGGCTAGGACTAGAACAGAGTTTAAAGAGAAGCTGGATAAATTCATGGAGGTTAGGTCCATAAAAGGCTATTAGCCAGGGGATAAAATGGTGTCCCTGGCCTCTGTTTGTCAGAGGCTGGAGAGGGATGGCAGGAGACAAATCGCTTGATCATTGTCTTCGGTCCACCCTCTCTGGGGCACCTGGTGCTGGCCACTGTCAGTAGACAGGATACTGGGCTAGAAGGACCTTTGGTCTGACCCAGTACGGCCGTTCTTATGTTCTTATGTTCCTGTCACGGTTACTAGAAGTGCTTTGCTAAGCATTGGAAACCAGCAACAGAAGGGTTAAAGGGGGGAGAGGAAAGCCAGATTCTTCCTATGGGCTGCCCCAAGACTCCAGAGTCCTCCCAGGGCAAACATTGCTCTGGAACAATTGTAATTGGTGCCTGTTCTAGATGAGCATACCATTAATTCCCTGCCCCCAGTGCCAGCTGTTGCACAGGCTCCATTCTTTCCCAGCCCCCCTTCCCCGTTCAGAATGGGGGCTGGGGGGCAGCATCCTACATGGACACAAGGACCGGGAGCTGGGGAAAATTGCTATTAGAGAGACCTAGATTGGCACCATCTGAAAATCTGGCTGACAAATTTCAGAGGATTCTTACACGGGAGTTACAACCCCTGGGGGAGCCAAAAACGAATTTCTCTGTTCTAATGGAAACCCAGACAGATCCTTAACTGGGAGCTGTGAATAGCAGCATGATCAGTTACAGCAAGAGATGTGGCATTTGCATGCAGAGCAATTGAAGGCTTTTAATTGGTGCTGTTACGCCAGCCTTTCATGTGAATTCATAATGGACACTTAAACAAATCTGTTACTAGCGGCAGTTCCATCTCCTCCCCCCACAATGACTGTGGCATGATACACCCACTGGCATGTAGCTCTTGTACATGGTCCTGGCCTGCCCTGGAAACTAGGGTCTATCCCCTGGAAAGACACAGAGCATGGGGCTGGCATGTTTCCCAGCGCGTGGTCCTCAGCGCTCCTCTGTGGCCAGCTCTAGCCCTGGGAGAGGAACGGGATGTCCGGTTTTAGCTGGAGCTGTGTGGATTTCCATCAGCTGGAGAGCTGGCGCATCTTTCCTATGGCCGTTCTGCACTGCCCGTGTTAGCTGAGCCTTCCATCTGGGAGGGGCTCATCTGCCAGCGAGGGATAGTCCATTGGCCGGGGATGCAGGAGGCCATTATTTTAGCTCCAAGCTGCTGGGCTTCCTTCCCTCCGTGCCTCAGTTTCCCCATCTCTAAAATGCGGATGGTGATACTGCTCTTCCTCTGCAGACCGTTTTGAGATTGCTTCTGAGCTGTGTGTGAGAGGTGGTTTTACTGCGAGCAGGAACATCACATGGATTTCACTGACACTGCCAAATGGCCCCCTGACGGCTCACACCCTGGAGTCTCTTTGGGCTTGGGGCCAGGTATCACCCCTGGGCATAGGCTTCGGTGCAGATTTGGCGCCAGGGCTGGGTTTGGACGAGAGCACAGTGGGAGGGAGTCAAAGCCTCTCCAGGCTGGAATGCCAAACGCCCTCCATTCCCATTCAGACACCTGGAGGAAGTGGGCAGGACCCAGCTGGTCCCTGTGTTCTCAGTAGGGCGGAGGAGGGGATGCATGAGGGGCAAGCCCAGTGTTCTCAATGGGAGCTGCTGCAACCTGCCCTCCTGAATTTCTGCCGAGAGGCCTCCAGCCAGAGAGGTTCTGACTGAAGGGAGCTGCTGCCATTCATTAAACCCAACCGGGTGACCACCCTAGTGACTGAACCTGGGGTCTTCCAGCTTTATCGCCAGATCACTGTATGCCCGGGGAAGGAGACGTTATCACACTACACCCCAATTACTTGGGGGCTTATGATCTTACAGGGGGTCTCATGAATTTTAATGTCTCATGTGGCGCTGTGAGCTCAGGTGGACCAAGAGAGACGCCGAGGGCCAAACCTACCCAGACGACCTTAGCCCCAGAGACTAGCTGTAGGCTCAGGGTCTTCTTTTTTTATGGGTTGTGCTGGTGACATTTTGAAAGCCCTCGAGGCCTAAGTCCTATAAACTATGTCACCCCCCCCCACCAGCCACAGTGCCAGCTCCCCGTGGCTTCTTCCGCCCATCACTGCTCCTCCACCAGCATGCTCGGGCAGGGGTGGCTTTGTGACGTGCTGAACCTGGGAATGGCCCAAGAGCCACCAGGAAAGCCCCGATCTGATATGAAGAGGAGAGCTAGGAGCAAAATGCCCTGAAATTGGGATCATCTTCCTGGCCCTAGTGGCCTTGATCTTCAGCACCAGGCTGGGTTCGGAAGGGCAGCAGTTGCCATGGCGACAGGTACCCAGTGCCCTAGGTGTCACTGGTGGTGAGGTGTCCTCTCCCGGGCTGTGAGCTCTGGCAGGGGAAGGGTCCGAAGGGCAGCAGTTGCCATGGCGACAGGTACCCAGTGCCCTAGGTGTCACTGGTGGTGAGGTGTCCTCTCCCGGGCTGTGAGCTCTGGCAGGGGAAGGGTCCGAAGGGCAGCAGTTGCCATGGCGACAGGTACCCAGTGCCCTAGGTGTCACTGGTGGTGAGGTGTCCTCTCCCGGGCTGTGAGCTCTGGCAGGGGAAGGGTCCGAAGGGCAGCAGTTGCCATGGCGACAGGTACCCAGTGCCCTAGGTGTCACTGGTGGTGAGGTGTCCTCTCCCGGGCTGTGAGCTCTGGCAGGGGAAGGGTCCGAAGGGCAGCAGTTGCCATGGCGACAGGTACCCAGTGCCCTAGGTGTCACTGGTGGTGAGGTGTCCTCTCCCGGGCTGTGAGCTCTGGCAGGGGAAGGGTCCGAAGGGCAGCAGTTGCCATGGCGACAGGTACCCAGTGCCCTAGGTGTCACTGGTGGTGAGGTGTCCTCTCCCGGGCTGTGAGCTCTGGCAGGGGAAGGGTCCGAAGGGCAGCAGTTGCCATGGCGACAGGTACCCAGTGCCCTAGGTGTCACTGGTGGTGAGGTGTCCTCTCCCGGGCTGTGAGCTCTGGCAGGGGAAGGGTCCGAAGGGCAGCAGTTGCCATGGCGACAGGTACCCAGTGCCCTAGGTGTCACTGGTGGTGAGGTGTCCTCTCCCGGGCTGTGAGCTCTGGCAGGGCAAGTGTCCGAAGGGCAGCAGTTGCCATGGTGACAGATACCGTGTCCTAGGTGTCACTGGTGGTGAGGTGTCCTCTCCTGGGCTGTGAGCTCTGGCAGGGCAAGCTTGCAGGCTCCGCTCGGGTGGGGAGACAAGAGCAGGGCTTGGGTCCGAGGGGTGTACAAAATACCACACCAGCAATGTCCTGCGCTTGAACCCCCACTCAGGTTTGGATGCGGTAGGTCTCTTTCCTCCTGCCCCCTTGTGGCGGGTGATCCAACGGGGAAGGGCTCCCTTTCCTGTCTGCCCTGGGGGTGCCCCTAACCACTGGGTCCATTTCCTCCCGCAGGTCGTTGCCTTCACCTCGCTCTTCTTCATCCTGGTCTCCATCACAACGTTCTGCCTCGAGACGCACGAGGCCTTTAACAGACACGTCAAGGTGAACGAAACAGTGGTGGTTGGCAATACCACAACGGTCCTGGTGACGCACAAGGTGGAGACGGAGCCCGTCCTCACCTACATCGAGGGGGTGTGTGTCTTGTGGTTCACGCTGGAGTTCCTGGTGCGAATCATTTGCTGCCCGGATAAGCTGCTCTTCGTCAAGAACCTGCTCAACATCATTGACTTTGTGGCCATCTTGCCCTTCTACCTGGAGGTAGGCCTCAGCGGCCTGTCCTCCAAGGCCGCCCGGGATGTGCTGGGCTTCCTGAGGGTGGTCCGTTTCGTCCGGATTCTCCGGATCTTCAAGCTGACGCGGCACTTTGTAGGGCTCCGGGTGCTCGGCCACACGCTCCGGGCCAGCACCAACGAGTTCCTGCTCCTCATCATCTTCCTGGCCTTGGGGGTTTTGATCTTTGCCACCATGATCTACTACGCGGAGCGGATTGGGGCCAAGCCGTCCGACCCCAGCGGCAGCGACCACACTCACTTTAAGAACATCCCCATTGGGTTCTGGTGGGCGGTGGTCACTATGACAACCCTGGGTTATGGTGACATGTATCCCAAGACTTGGTCAGGCATGCTGGTTGGGGCGCTGTGTGCCCTGGCCGGGGTACTCACTATCGCCATGCCGGTGCCTGTCATCGTCAACAACTTTGGGATGTACTACTCTCTCGCCATGGCCAAGCAGAAGCTGCCAAAGAAGAAGAAGAAGCATATTCCCCGCCCGGCTCCGCTGGACTCCCCCACCTACGGCAAGTCAGAGGACAACTCTCCCCGCAACAGCACACAGAGCGACACGTGCCCCCTGGCAGCGGAGGAGGTGGTGGTGGAGAGAAAGCGATCAGGTGAGATGCAAAAGCTCAGCTTCATGAGAGCTGGAGGGGGAGGAGGAAAAAGGACTGGGATGTAAATCCCACCTGGTGGAGACACACAGGTGGGGGGCAGGGTTAGCGGATGGCCGTGGTCCAATAGAGATGCTCCAGAGTCGCGCTGGAGTGAGAGCAGAATTTGCCCGGTGCCATCACCTCCGGGCCAGACTGTCCCGGGGGCCGGCAGCTCTTGGCTCTGGAGTTTGGACTAGGGGATTCCAGACAGGCAGCTGGCTCAGGTGGCCTCCTCACTAGGGAAGCAGAATCCCTGGAACGCAACTAGGTACTGTGCTGCTTCCGCTCTCATGCGGCATAGAGCAGAGAGAACGCACCGGGACTTCATCCCTCCTGCGGCCGCTGGGGTGACACGGGTAACCCCACAAGGCGGGGCTGGCTGATTGAAATGCCACCAGAGATGAGAAGCTGCCCCAGTATGGGAACCACGTTGCCTACATCCAGGGACAGTGTAATTCTGCGCTGCGGGCTGGCATGGCGGTGCCACTGCCTAGTGTGTGAAATGCTCCCCACTGTTAAGAGAATCCATCGGCAGGGTTTCTTCCTCCCACCCCGCCAA